GGAGGTATATTAAGAAATAAATTGTCCGTGGGCCGAAACACTTGCGCAATCTACAGGCGAGATAGGATCCGATAACGAAGGGAAGGGGAGTTAAATTAATTAAAAGCTGTTGATAAGGTGTGGTGTTGAGTGTTGTTGCTCCTGGCGTTGCATTCTGTTGATCCTTTTGCTGTTGCACTGGGATCGTGCTTGTACAGTTCGTGTTCGGCAGCTGTACTCGTAAGAGAACATTCGTTGCTACATGTTTTAATCGTGCCGAATGTGCTGAGTCTTCTGCTTAATAGAAGTCTCTATCAATAATAGTCTAACTGAAGATAATCTGTACCGATAAATGTGAATTATGTAATTTTTAATAATCAATAATACAATAATTTTTAAACTGTCATATTCAGATTCAGAGGAAAAGTCCAACTTATATTTATTAAATTATTTAAAAAGAAAGTTCTAGTAAATGAGAAATAATCAGTAATCAGACTTAAATTAAATACTTCATTCATCTTAAATGAATAACTCAATTCTTTGCTTGATTATATAATAATATAATGCTCAATTACCAATTTTTTGTGTGAATCTTCGGTGAAATGAATGTCTTCAACATAATATTTTATGGAAAAGTTCTTTAAAATCTTTTACAAAAAAGTGTGTAACCAAGATTAAGAAAGCACTGGAAACAAAAAAAACTCTACTCTCTTTTGTTTCCTGTGACAGATTACTAATTGATATTTTCGGATGTGCATGTGCTCTTACATCTTATTGTATCTTGACTATCTTTTCTAGATGTTTAGATGTGGCATGCCGTAATATTGTATATAGAATAAGTATCTTTCTTGTTATTTCTATTATCTTAAATATCTTCCTTTTTATCTTTAATTGTATGTAGTAATTATGTTTGAATTCCCTCTTTTTCCTTGTATTTTAGTTCTTTTTATTGTACATAGTATTAATTTTGTAAATATTTCTTTCTGTAAATAGATCTGTTAACCTTTTTGCTGCTTTATAAAAAAATATCCAACCTAACCCTTCTCACCTGAGCTAGCATGGTAGAATAAATGATTTATGATGGCCAAATAATGGGTAAGTAACTTATATTCCCTATAATTATCTCTTTAGAGATCAAAGGCTAGTAAAGCCAGGCACCCAAAAAATAAAAACACCTATGGAAAATTATATTTATTAACAATTGTTTTCTTATATTTTTACTTTATCCCTTTTTTTGGTAATATAAATAGTGGCGCTCCACCATTAGTCATTTGCTCAGGAAACGAAAGAGAGTAGCGTTTTTTTGTTTCCAGTGCTTTCTTAATATTGGTTACAAGTGTTAATGGAAAATTTCTAATATCTCAATAATAGAAAACAAAAATGAAAATATAAATTCCAGTCTAACAAAAAACTGTTTAAAAATAAAAGTTAAAATGTTATATTATATTGTATATAGGTGTGTATGTGTTCTTTTTATTTATTTATTTTTAGGTTATTTTATTGTAATTTATTGTATATATATATTATTTTTCTGTATAATTTATTTCATTTATTGTACATAGAGTGTGAATGTGATCTGTGAACTCTATTATAAATGTCCTAGAGACAGATTGTAATATTTTTCAATAAAGAAGTTTAAAAAAAAAAATGTTATATTTGGTACAAAGTATTAATCAAATTATTAAATTATATTTAAACACACTTGATTCATGCCAACCATCAATTATAATCACATTTATTAGCAATTAATTCCCTTTAACAATCTATTAATTAAAAAAAATAAATACAATTTTATATTATTTAACAAAAATAAGATCATGTCTTAAAATATTGAATCATAGTAAGAGCTTCAACATAAGAATAACCTAACAAATCGATACAAACTACCAAAACTAAGGGAAAAATCGAATACTAATTACCAGAAATATGTTCGAACTAATAATAACATAAAAAAAATTAAGAAATCGTTTTTATTTTACCTTTTTTTTATTGTTTCTAAATAAAATATTACATCTTCTAATTAATTAAATAAATAGTTGGTTGCCTTTAAAAATATGGAAAAGAGTTATCTTCAACAGATTGTCTTAAATTATCACTCCTAACCCAATAATAATCATTGGTTTACCACCAAGAAGAAAAATAATATGAAAATGCTTTAAATACTTAATCAATTGAAATTTAATACTCTTGAAGTTGACGTTTAGATGAATTTTATTTATTATTATTTTTGTATTCGCCTTTCATTTACTTTTTGTTATCTACTGATTATGTAACCATTAACTATTTATATTTTTCCTTTAATTTGTGAATTCATATATTTTTTACTTTTATGATTATACTTCTTTATTATTATTATATTTTACATTTTTACATTTTGTTCGTTCATGTTTACTGTAATTTATTTATTTATTATTAATGTAATTTTCATTTATTTTTAATTTATTCCTAATTAGTTTAATTTGTTTTCTTGTATGTATTTTTAGCAGCACTACTACTTCCGATCGTATTAATATATAACAATATTTCACGATGTGATGTGTAAAACGGTAGGTTGTAGAGTAGTTCAGTTAAGTGAATAATTGTAGCATTTTCCTTGTAAAATTACTCAAATATTATAACATTAGTAATATTAGAGAATTATTCCTTTGTAGGGCCAGAACTCTAACTGTTGTTAGTTTATTTATTTATTTATTTATTTGATTTTTTTTTTTGTTGCCTCTACCCTGTAGGGTCATTGGCAACACCTTTGAATTAAACTCTGTTGTAGAATTTTATCATTTTTAAGAACTTTAAAGTTTTTTTAACGGCATTTTCATGGTCTTGTAGATTTTCTTTCAGACTCTGTGCCATGTCTAACTTTCTCCTTATATGATCAAATGTAGGGCATTCTTGAATAATGTGTTTTACTGTCCTTTGGACATTGCAGTTCTCGCAGGTCGGAGGATCAAGTCCTCTTAGTAGGTAGGAGTGCGAGAACTCACAATGTCCAATTCGCAGTCTGCAAAGGGCTGTCTCCTCTTTTCGAGATGGTCGGTGCGAGGTTTCCCATTTTAAACAGTGGGGTTTAATTTCTTTTAATTTCGATTCTCCTTGTTCCCACTTGTTTTGCCACATGTTCCATACATTCTCCTTAATTTTTATAACGTAATCCTCCAGAGGGATTTCATTAATTGATTCAACGGATGTTGTATTTGGCTTTCTTGCTATGTTGGCTGCTTGATCTGCTTGTTCATTACCGATGATCCCGCAATGCGAAGGGACCCAAATGAACACTACTTCTTTGCCCTTCTCCCTTAGTAGCCACCAAACGTTTCTTACATCTTTTGCGAGAGAGGTTTTGGGCCTGTTATGTTCAATAGCTAGTAATGAACTCATAGAGTCTGTCACCACTGCCCAATTGGTAGTTTCACTTGTCTCTATGTGTTTAAGAGCTTCTCTAATTGCTAGCATTTCACCAGTAAACACTGAGCAAGCCTCCGGAATTTTGAATAGTTTTTGAGTATTAAAATTCATA